ATCCATAATTAAAATCTAAACATTTTGCCAACATCCATTATCTAATAGCAGTGTTATTCTAAAGAAAAAGTTGTATCTATGTATGTATATATATTAAAAATACAGACACCTCTGTAGAGTAATTATTTACATTACTTACATTGTTCGAACTGCTATCCTCATCTTTTTTGTCATATTCTCGTCGTTTTGGCCGCTGTAAGTTCCGTCCTCCTGTAGAGTATAGAACCACCGCCTCCTCAAGGTCGGTGGTGGTGTTGGAGTTTCTGTCGTAAGTCGATTTGGTTTGGTTTGGTTTGTTTTATGGCATATCAACCTCAATGGGTTCTATTTAATGCCGACAAGAATTTTATTGCTGGTGATTTTTTTTTAAATGTATAGGTGGTAATTTTTTCTTCTTCTTCAAAAATGTATAGCTGGTAAATTCTTTTTTTTTTTCAAAAATGTCTTGCTGGTTAGAATGTATTGCTGGTAATAATTTTTCTTCAAAAATTGATCGCTGGTAATAATTTTTTACAAAGTATTTCTGGTATTAAAAACTGTACCTGGGAACACCAGCAATTAAGAGGTGCTTCCACGCTCCTCAAAACCTCCTGATCCTGCTGTTGGACGTAGTTTATCGTCTTACCCAGCAAGCGAATATAGTTTATCGTCATACCCAGGACGCGGATTTAGTTTATCGTCATACCCAGGGCGGCGCAAATCGGTTTTTACGAGGTGGAGTTGCTTGCTCCACGTCAAATTTACTTTGAATTCAGTCCTTCTCCTAGACTGCTTCCCAACCAAGGCTAAATAGTCCAGCCCGCTCTGCTAGTGACCCTTAGCTGGTGAAGAGATTGATTCGTACCTGTTCAGGAGAATTTGTGCGAAAGTGAACGCAACTGCCTCGACTAGAATTTGAACTCGTCACACGGCGATGAGCTCTATGCGAGGTCAGAATTCGATTAAAGTTGTGTAATAAAATCTTATTGCATGGGGACTTTTCAAGTGGAACTTAGATGTGTCACAAGGCCGAAAGTATGGGGCACCCAGTCGTAATTATTCTAACGAGACAAGCTTGCTAACTATTACTCCACGTCGAGTTGCTCTATGCATATTGTAGAGATTTTCCAAGCATAGCTTAGATGTGGCACAAGGCCGAATGTATGGGGCACCCAGTGAGGATCGTACTCACTATTCAGTCGTAATTGTCTTAGCGAGACAAGCTTGCTAACCATTACACCATGTTGAGGTGCTCTATGAATATTGTAGAGATTTTCCAAGTTTAGCTTAGATGTGGCACAAGGCCGAAAGTATGGGGCACCCAGTCGTAATTATTCTAGCGAGACAAGTTTGCTAACCATTACACAACGTCGAGGTACTCTATGCATATTGAATGTACTGATTACAATTTACCTAAAGTCCGTACCAGATTGCTTTACTTGCTGTGACTTCAAATATTAATACATCATTATTATTTAACAACAATAGGTGTTCATGCAAAAATAAAGAAAAATGTCAATACATTAAACAAACATTATTTTAATTAAATTTTTGAACATTTGAAAAATATTCAGTGGATATTCTTATTTTTCCCAATCCAAAATTATCGATATTGTTCGAACAATATTCTATTGAGTTGGTGCATAATTATCAGGCGTTTTTTAGACGATATTTATTATGAAAAAAGAAACATAACAATTCAACAATAACATTTTTAAATGAGTATTCCGGAGCGTATGATTATCGACACGCATTTTTATAACCTGAAAATAAAATAATATTTTTATCAAAAAAAGTAAACAAAACAGCAATTTTTATTAACAAATAACTCGCCCACAAAAACGCTTGATAATTATGCACCAATTTAACTATTTGTACTGGCGTGCAAAACGTTTGGTCCACCTTAGTAAACAATCTTAACTTCTTAATAAAATAAAGATGTATAATCATTTTATGTAGTTGGTCCCAAACCTTTGTTCAAGTGTAGAGTGAAAAAGCGACAATAAAATTTTCAAGCAAAGTAATCTTTTTCATTTTATTGCATTTTTAATATTTTCCGATTCATGGCCTATTTTGTAGATTTCTGGTTAAAGATATGAATAAAATTTCAATTTATTTAATTTCTCCTGCAACTTTGGGGAAATGTAAATATTTTTAGCATTCAAATGATATTGCATATAAATTTCATAAAATTAAAGCAGCCGGAGCCTTAAAATTATTTCCATCAAATTTTCATACAAAATACTATTTTTTGTAAATAAATCAGTTGATAAATAAGTAAAATAAATAAGCCTTCAAACATCGCATGTTAGACAAGTATATACATACATTTTTAAGGGGGTCGCATCACACGCGAGATATAAAATTAGCGTATGTACTGCTGCCCTGGCTACACCGGTGGCTAAACTATATATCCATTTATTGTAGTAAAAAGTACAGCTGTCTTTAAAATAAACATGATTTTTATAAAACTGATGTTTTTCTTAATTGTATCCAATAATAATGCATGTAATTCAAATATTAATATCGTATTATAAAATACAAACATAGCGAATATGCATCTTTTATATTGTTTTACGTTTATAAGATGTTTTGCTGTTCCTCGTTCAGTTGTTTATAGATGTACGCGTTTTACGCAATGAATATAGCATTACTAACAATACTTTTATCATTTTCTTTTATTTATTTAACTTATTTAACTAGAAGATGGGGTAAAGAGATAGAGAAAAAGAGGTTGGTCTATTGTAATTTAGTCTCTCAAAAAAGGAACTCGTATGATACACGAGATACATGATAAAATCATTTTTTTTTATAAGCGAAAATTTGGGGGTTGCACAATATGCGAGTTCGCGCGTTAGACGAGTATATACGGTAAGTACTTCTAATTTTATTCAGTACTTAGTTAAAATTCGGCCGTTTTTTTTTAAAAAATTGTGTCCTTCACGTGTCGCTTTGTTTTTGTCAAAGCGACGCAAACTGTTCGATGCTAATTATTTTCCGTTTGTGTCTGTGGCTTCATTCGGAAAAAACTTTGGTTCTTTGGACGTTGTTTTGGAGGATTCAACTGCTCTTTTATCCACCGAGTATTTAAAACTATAATTATTTTTTCCAACATTCGGAAAATTTCTTCAAATTTTATTCCCACATTACAAAAAAGAAAAAAAAAATCAAATTTCTGCGTATTTTACTAGTAAAAGATCGTTGAAGCTTGTTCGCAATCCGATCCCGAAAATTTGTACTCAATACCTTTAAGTAAGGCATGAACTCTTTGTAATCTGACTCATCAACAGGTATCATATCTCAACACTGGCAAGAAAAGAATTCAGTCAGGTTTCATCTCTCGTTGAAATGTCATTGGTTATATTTTTTATTTGAAATTACTCTTCAGATATTTACGGGCTTAAGTCCTATCACACATTTATACAAATAAATTCCACTACGTACATTATGTGTGGTAGCGTCCATCGGTCTGGAGAAACGCTGGATCTACGTTCAAAGTGTCATGCCTCCGCTGTTGATGGCAGTGCAGAATCTGTTATGGCTGTACAGGCCCACGCGGGAGTGACTGTTTTGATTGCAATGAATGCATGTGAAAACAACCGATGTCGCCTTGTTTTCTTTCCGTTGAACATGCATCTCTCCAAGTCTCGTTGCCGTAAAGCAGCACACTGACGACACATGTTGCAATTTTGGCTTTCGTAGTAAGCTTTCTTTTCTCCCAGATTCTCGTGATCAGCCTGGCAAACGTGGTGATAAGCTCGTCCGATCCATCTGTTGACATCAGTGTCTAGAGAGATGTCTGAAATGATGGAGCCGAGGTATGTGAATTCACGAAACAACTCCAGGTCGTATTTGTTGATTTTGATGGCGGGAGGCTTGTTCAACGCTTTGGCCCATCACGTTGGTTTTCTTCAAACTGATGACAGAATTAACTCTTGGCCGGTTTTTGAGAAATTGCCCATTAGTCGCTGCAGTGTGCTGCCAGCGCTGCTTCAGTATGTCTCTAATGAGCGCCTACATTACGTCATACATAAAGGAGTTTTTAGGCGTCTATTGCAGGGCTCTGGCTAACAGATGACTCCCTGAAGGTACTGCTAATGATATTGTTCCTTACCGAGTACGTCTTTACCGTGGCATTTTTTTTTTTTACTATACAAAACTCAATCGAGTAAATATCCGCGTGGATATCGGCTGCAGAACGATATCTCTCTCTTTGACCATAGACAGAAATAGAATTCGATCCTCACTGATGGATCTATTATTGTGACCATCAGACGTTTTACATTCCTTAGTTCCACTAGTCCAGACCTTCGCAGCTCGGGCCTGCCATGCCGCGTACATAGAGTCGACTTATCTGCATCGCTTTCGTATTCCAATGATGAGAAGGAAGTTCCGATCAGAGAGATTCGTTGCAGAACAGGCACACGAGTGGATGCTTCACAATCTTAACCTCTGCAAGTCTAGGTTTAACCCTTCTCTATCATACATATACTCATAATCTTCATTCCTTCTTTCCCCCTGTCACGTCTATACAATAACCTTATTCAGTGACCCTCTACTTGGAGTGGCTCTTGGGCATTGTATTGGGTGAACAACAGTATAAAATATCTCGAAGCACTTCGCATTGAAAGGGAGAAAAATAATTGTGGCCTTGTGCCAGTCTTGGTTAAACGGAGTAAATATTATCAAATTGGGTGTATTCCCCCCCTCCTTTTTTCTCTCTCTCTGTTATTCATTCGAAAGCAAATCTTAATCTTCCTCTTTTTATTCATCGTATTGTTTTCACCATTTCCTCTCCTATCTCCTCCCCTCTATATCTATCTATCTATCTATCTATCTATCTATCTATCTATCTATCTATCTATCTATCTATCTCACTTTTATTTCTTAACTTCTTGTTCCTGCTATTATCCTCCACTACCTGCCTCTTCCCACCGGCCTCTTCCCACCGGCCTCTTCCCACCGGCCTCTTCCTTTCGCTTCTTTCTAACCTGACGGACATCAGCCTCACCATTGACGCCATGATCCGCCACTCGCACGTCTCGAATTTTAAACCAAACACCAACATCAGTTTCACATTCACATTTATTACCCTCACCCTCGCACCTCCTGTCGCGTACTCTACACAAATACACACTTGCAGATATCCAGCGATTATTGCTCACCTGTTTTGTTACTCACTTTCAATTTATTTTACTTACTTTTTTCTTTTCTTTTTGTTTCCCTTGGTTTTCTCTTTTGAATTTATTTATATTTCTTTCACACGACTCTCTTTACCACCCTCTTTCTCTCTCTCTCTCTCCATCCATCTATCTATCTATCTATCTATAGGCTATTCATATCTATCTATCTATCTATCTATCTATCTATCTATCTATCTATCTATCTATCTATTTCAGTTTGTACAGATGTAAGTTCGTACAGATCTATCTATCTATCTATCTATCTATCTATCTCAATCTGTTCATATCTATCTATCTATCTATCTATCTATCTATCTATCTCAGTTTGTACAGATGTAAGTTTGTACCTATCTATCTATCTATCTATCTATCTATCTATCTATCTATCTCAGTTTGTACAGATCTATCTATCTATCTATCTATCTATCTATCTATCTATCTATCTATCTATCTATCTCAGTTTGTACAGATGTATGTTTGTACTGATCTATCTATCTTCTCCCTTTTATTCTTTAACTTCCCGTTCCTATCCTCCTCTGTTACCAATCTTCCCACCTGTCTCTTCCCTTCACTCTCTTCCTTACCTGACCGACATAAGCCTAACCATATTGTTTTCTTTTCCACGCTCAGTAACCTCACCCACTGCGTGTTAGTGACTTTATTGCCTTATTTGAGTTGAAATGATTTTTAAAAATGCTTCAGCGACACAACATCGATATCCGTCATTAATTTTTAACGAACGTTTCTGAACTTTCTGACATTAAAAATAAACAGAAAGTGTTTAATGGATTTACTGTCAGATTTTACGAACAGCCGATAAACGGTTTTTGTTATATTGATAGTCAAATATAAGTGAATCCAGTGTTTGCCTTTGTCTCAAGTATAAACGGTACCTATGTTTACCTTTTGAATTCACCTTTCGACATTACATAACAAAAGGTTTGATATTTTATCAAATTAACAAGAATGTGGGAAAATGCAACACAAATTCTGAAGCATCTGCACACTTATGTTTTATAGATTACGCAAAAGCATTTGACAAGGTATGGCACTAGAATCGATTTAAACTGTTAGGAAAACTCGATCTATTCAGATCTATGTTAGAATAATCTAGAACTCATTTTGCGAGCAAACCGCCAGCATACGAATAGGAAACGAATTGGGTAGATACATAAAAATAAAAAGGGGCGTAAGACAAGGAGCTGGGTGTCTTTTCCCCGCATCTGTTCAATCTTTACAGCGAGCTTATCTTAAGACATTATGCTGATGGCCGACATGGACAGAAAGAAAACTACAGGAAAGCGAGAGAAAAAAAAAAAAGGAAAAGCCATCAACTGTAAGAAGACAGAAAGTACGTGTTGTGGTAGGATCCACCTAATTTGCATAGTGGAGTACCGACCATATAAATATGGTTGGTACCGGGAAGAGAGGAAAGAATCAAGAGATTCAACCAGAGACTCTGCCCGACTGCGACTCAGTCAACACATTCTCCAGGAACGGTCTTACCAGGAATATACAAAAGACTGTATGTAAATATTGTGTACACTTTCTTGTTTCAATACATTTTGTTCTAAGTACATTTTGTGTTGCATTATTATTCCATACATTAGTCAAGTTTCAACAGTATGGTAGTCAGTAAGGGGAAAAATCTCAACTTGCGAGAACTACGAAATGGAAATGTCAAAAATCAAAAAACGACAGGAGTTTAAATATCTGGGATGTATTTTAACAAAGGTTGGAAAATGCGACAAAGAAATCCGATTAACGAAAAATGCATTTTAAAAGTTAAACAATGTTGTAAAAAACGAATACTTCACTGGAAATAAAAAAAAATGTGCTATATGAGATCAATCCTTTTGTATGGCAGTGAATGTTGGACAATCTCTTCACTGATGAAGTGAAAACTGGAGGCGGCAGAAACGTTTGCGTGAGATTTCTAGAAATATCAGGGATGTGTCCATACAGATGTGATTTTTTTTTAAAAAAAGTCGAATAACTGGGAAAATTGAAATCGGAGATAATGGATTTGGTTTGAATTATTTTATTTTTTAGCTCAAAATAAAAAAAAAATTCACCATAAGTTTTTGCCGTCCTGGGTATGACGATAAACTACATCCGCATTCTTGTAAGATGATAAACTACGTCCATCAGCAAGGCCTCTGATCAGGAGGTTTTGAGGAGCGTGGAACCACCTCTTAATTGCTGGTGTTCTCAGATCCACCCTGACTAGAAGTGGTAGCACCTGTTGTTGCAGTTTTTGGGTATATGTACTAGTGAGCCAGTCAAAATGAGCTGACTCATTTTATAGTTCACCAATAGAAGGGTTAACCAATCAGAAAGCTCAAAATATTCAATCCGACGTGTATAAAGGTAGTCATTTTGTTTTTCCCCACAAAATATCTTCACTGCCAACCTGATATCGAAGACTTAAAGAATTAACAGCCGCCACTTTCTCCGAATCTACACTGCCAACCTCTGATATCGAAGAGATTACGGACTTCACTGGATTCCATATTCAGAGACTACAGCAAACATGGTCAACACCTGCTAGGGTCCCAGCTATGGGCAAATAGTTAACACCCAAACTTGTATAAACATATGTTTTAATACCAGAAATACTTTGTACAAAAAAAATTATTACCAGTAATAATTTTTGAAGGAAAAATTATCAGCAATAATTTAAAAAAATACCAGCAATACAAAGAGCTATACATTCTTTGAAAAAAAAAAATAGGACCAGCTATAGATTTCTTCAAGGAAAATAATCCCAGAAATAGTTTTTTGAAGAAAAACATATTACCAGCAATATAAATTTTGTCGGCATTAAATAACCCATTGAGGTTGATATGCCGTAAACCAAACCAAACCAAAAGTTTTGGTTTGAATATTTTGGATTTTATGTTAAATCGGAACAAAAGATAATTGAAACGAAAAATCGTTTTTCTTTTTTCTTTATTTGTGATGCCAAGATTAGGAGATCGTTTTTTTTTTTTTTTTTTTTTTTTTTACCGTGTAATGATTATGGTAATATTAACCGTTTCCTTATGTGTATGTTAACGGGTTAAATGTCTTCACAGTCGGTAAACAACAAAAAATAATTTTCTCAGGCCGATTCTCAACCAAAACGGTAAGTCGACGAATAAATAAAATACGTCATTGTTTATATCTTCACCCAGATTGCATCTCTCCATCTAAAAAAAAAAAACATTCAAGGCTGCATTCATAAAATACTTTTTTAATTTCCAAAAGACACAAGGCAGGAAGCAATAATACAATGCAACATTTGTGCCAAGAAAATCGTCAATTCTAAATAAACAACAACAAAAAGAAAAAATGCAACTGGAAAAAAGTAACGTAATTCATTTTGTTTGATCGTATCGTTTGATGGGTGGGGTCACCACTTGATGCTCATAAACTTAACGAGTGTTATTTGTAACCCCACCATGGCATTTTTTTCAGTTTAAATACAAAATAAAAAAAAAAGAAGAAATTCATATTGACAGTACACTGAGTTCTCTTCTTGGTGAAAATCTCAGACAATAGGACAGAGCGCAAGAAAACTACTTTCATGTTTTTCTCAGAGACTTAAGTACGAATCTACACTAATCTACTTTCTCTTGATGACACCGTTACTTTCCATAAGGATGCGGGTATGCAGGCCCCGTAGCCAGAGAGTTTTGTGTCGCGGGCCGGCATGTATGTCAGTGGTGTCACGAGTGAGAATTTGCTAACTGAAATTAGTTTGATGATTAACTTGGAAAAACCAAGGAACATCTCTATTTGACTTGCCATACTGATGCCATCCTATTATTTGCCCTTGTTAAAATTAACCAATTTCCTTACTTCCGTGAACTTTCATTGCAAAGTATAAGTCAACTATCGTTCATAGATTATAAGCTTGATACTAACACGGTACTGTCTGACAAAAAGAAGATACGTTATTGTACAAGCCAAAATTGCTGTAATTAAGGATGGCTAAAAACTTATCATAGCCCACTGTAAACTGATTGAATGTCTGAGAGAGAAGGAATAATGTTGAGAGAAAGAGCGGAAAATATATAACATGACTAAAATAGACAGATAGATGAGACAAAAATACATCTCTCTCTCTCTCTCTCTCTATATATATATATATATATATATATATATATATATATATATGTGTGTGTGTGTGTGTGTAATTAATTTCACAGTAAAATATTATAAATATTAATTGAATTATAAAAAAAACAAAACAATAACAACATTTAGTCACTTTCATTTATTAGACCTCAAATTACATCACTTAGCATCCTCCATAATTTACTTTGACAATCAGTTAGTTAACCTGAAGTATATTTAGGAGCGTTCTTAAATTAAAATTTATTTTTGCAAAATAAAATCCTTACTTGACACGGTCGAGCTGGCTGGAATTGCTTAAGGAACACACACAGCGGGTGACAAAAACATATGCAGACTTAACGATTAAATAATTTTATTACTGTAACATACAATGGGAAAACAATATGAAAGATACGGCGGAAGTGGGACGTAATAATGGGAGGGGGAATTTATCCTCTCAGAAAGGCAACTAGACGACTAATAGAAAATCTTAGGTCAGCCCTGCATGCAAATATAATACATGACAAAAAGCACTGAGCAAGGTATAAACATGTAAGACTCTTACAGTAAGAGAAACAATGACTTATCTGATTGTTATCAAAGTTCGTTTTCTTCTTATCTTATTTTAACTTAATGTCTCTTATCTGTGTTTCTTTTCTATTTGTTCTTTTTTTTTGTTTTATATTTCTTTTATCTTTCTTTCGCCTTTCGTTTCTTTTTATGTCTTTTCTTTCTTTTTCTCGATTCTGGTCTAGGGGCTTGAGTGAACAATCAATTGAAGCTGTCATTTCGTAGCTCTCAGGATAACATGTGTCTTTTCTTCTGGTGTCGAGGCGACTTCTCTTCTCTCGTGCAAAAGTTTACTTTTTCCTTTGGGTTAAACTTTGTTAAAGCTTCCTTTCGCATATTTAAATTAATAGCTGGCTGGCGCTTTTCCCGCCAACAGTCCATTCGGTGTAACTACCAAAGAAGGATATTTCGCATACGCGAATATATAACGGATTATCGCATTTATTGCGAACGCGTCCGCTTGGGTTGATTCCCAAAGCTGGACAAACTTTTCGCTGTTCGTTTTTTCCTGCCTTGGTTTCATCATGTGGTCCTTGATTTTCAAATATGGACCTTTCTCCTGTGTAGGCGAAAAGATTTCACTGACCCTTTTTCTATTCTGCAAGGTTTTCAGAGAGTTCAAGGTCGTTTCACTGTCTGGGTTTCATCCGGTTAAATCACGTTGTCAACACGTGATTAAAAGAGGAAAATGTACAATCTTTGCTCAAATGCATGCCAGTTTGATTAAAATTTGTTAATATTCTATTTTTCTTCATTCTTTTTTTCTCTCTATCCTTAAACGTTCTGACTGACTTTTTATTTAAAATACTTCTAAAATATAAGCATGGATGCAGATTTTAGAAAGATGGGGCCCATAACAAATGTATATATATATATATATATATATATATATATATATATATATATATATATATATATATTAAAGAAAAAACAGACTACTTTAAGGCTCCATTGTAATAGTTTATTTCACCAGAGACATTATAAAGGACGCTGGATCATCAATAATTCATTTTTCGTTTCACCTTTTGGAAGTGATGTCTGATGATCCAGCGTCCTTTAAAAGGTCTCTGGTGAAATAAACTATTACAATGGAGCCTTTTAAAGTGGTCTGTTTTTTTTTAAATTATTAGCTCTGAATTTACATTGAGCTCTCACGATTTTATCCTCATTGGGACTACCCATACGGATTACCAAGTTTTTTCGTAACTTTATATATATATATATATATATATATATATATATATATATAATATTAGTTATGTAATATTACATGGTTATAATTTATTACATTACATTTATCACGATCCAATTCATCAGAACTACAAATTCATAAAAATTGAACCTTTGAGTGTTTGAGCCTTTTTTTTATATATATATATATATATATATATATATATATATATATATATATATATATATAGTTAAAATCGTTTTGTGTCAGCCCCACTGTCTTCCCAAACGAACAATGGTGAGAGGAAAAAGATCATTCGGACCTTCAGTAATACCCTGGCATCTTCCATCTTCAAAGTTATTTCAAGAGCCATCAAGAGAATGGTGAATATGTTTAAAAAAAGAGGGAACAGTAGAGGAAAACTGGATCAGGATGTCACAACAGGAAGAGGGTTCATTATTTTAAATTAGAGCTAAAGAGATCAATTAGAAAAGATCCAACTCAATCCATAAGACTTTTGGCACGTGGAAGAGGAGTTTCACCTATGATAGTCCAAAGAGCAGTGAAAAAGACTTGGAAATGAAATCGTACGTGAAAAGTGTGTAGCACCTTGATACTCCAGGACAGAAAGTTAGAAGGTTAGATATGATTAAAAGATCATCTTGAATAAGTTGGAAAATGATCCTGAAATTATGCATATATATATATATATATATATATATATATATATATATATATATATATATATATATATATAATATGAATTTTATTTCAATACTTCATGAGCTTCCAATCCTTAGCTCTGATTAATTAATGATGAACATATCATTTTCGTTTATGATCGATTTCATCACGATTCATCTATTAATCTTGGAGAGTAATTATACATTCTTATTGCTCAAAATCCAATAATGCTATAATAACCTCAAAGAATTCCAGTAAGATATCTTTAATCATTTCTAAGTTACAACGGCTCCGAGCTTAATATAACAAATGGACAATTTTGCAGTTACACGCGGTATACTGGACTCTCCCATCATTTTCAACGTATGAGGGTCGAGCATCTCAGTTGTTCGAACATCCTGAATACACTCACATATCCTTTGATTATGGTGGGGAAGGCTTGTGCAAAACCAACCACGCTTTTTGGAATAGCCAAATACAGAGAACTGGCGCGCAGTATGCCACAAATTCCCTAAAGGACCCTCCGCGGGTTTTGAGTTCAGAGTTGTCCTTCACTAAGACTAGTTGCCACCCAGAGCTATAGGTCCCAGTACGTTCTACTATTTTACCCATAGTTGTGGGATAGAAAAGATGGAATCATACCTTATACAAGGATACTAGCCCGTAAGTAAATGCAACCTCCGATTCCTTCTCTCTTTTTCATTCTTTCTTTCTACACACACACACACACACACACACACACACACACACACACACACACACACACACATATATATATATATATATATATATATATATATATATATCTCGACTCTTCCGTTGAATTCGACGTATCATGGTCAAGCAGATCAGTTTCCAGGAAACCGACAGCCCGTCACCGGCATATGAGATTTGATTATAGTGGTGAAGGCCTCGTGCAGGATCATCCACACTTTTTGAAGGGCCGAATACAAAGACCTGGTGCACTATGTACCACAAGGTCCCCAAACAGGTTTTGAATTCAGAGTTGTCCTTCTCCTAGACCAGTTGCCATCCAAGGCTATAGAACCCAGTCTGTCCTGCTATTTACCCATAGCTGGAGGGAGAAGAAGAGGATTCACACTTTTCCCAAGGGTATTAGCACGTAAGTGAATGTAATGGATTCGACTGGAATTCGAACTCGGCTCTCCGATTCCTCAAGCCACTATCCATTACTCCACCGTGCCTTCTATATATATATGTGCATATATACATGTATGTACATATATATATGCCTCCTATATATATATGTACATACATACATGTACGTAAATATATATATATAGGAGGCATATATGTATGTATATATATATATATATGTATATATATATGTATGTATATAGATATACATACACGCAGAGAGAGAGAGAGAGAGAGAGAGAAATCAGAGAGAGAGAAACAGGGTGATTAAGAAACTCTGACTGCTAACATCATTGGCATAAATATATATATATATATATATATATATATATATATATATATATATATATATATATATATATATATATATATATATATATATAACTATTATGAGATATATACAAATATACAGAGGAAATAATTCGTTCATTTCAGTACCTTTTCTTGATTAATTATTGATTATTTGTCGAACGTCTTGAAAATATACTTTTCCATTTTTGTTTTCTTTTCTCCTTTGTAGAAAATTCCTCCTTTTACCAATTTTCTCCTTTTATCGTAAACGACAAGCTTGTTTTTGTTTCTGGAGTGAAGAGTGTTTCGCCGTTTTTAAGTCGAACTACCAAAACAGAGATCATAGGAATATTTGCAGGGCTGGAAAAGGGTGGAAAAAATTGGGAGCAACCAGTGCAGGTAGATAAATGAACTTCTTCCGTATATGCCTTGTGGCTGAGAGTCCATGTTCGGCATTAGGTGAAAAACCTTCATCACTCATTTCCAAGGCAAGACAGGTAAAAGAAAATCGATTGGGCAAAGGTGGGGAAAAAGTATTAAAATGATTTTTAATATGAAGGAAAACGACAAAAACAAAACAAAAAGTTGGCAAATGAGGCAAGAAGGATGTTTGAAATGTTATGAGGTTGTACGAACCAAAATGGAGGGAAAAAGGAATCGCGTGAATGAAAAAGTTTTGTTTCTGATTTTGCTTTTTTTTTGTTTTTTTGTTTGTTTGTTCGTTGTATCATCAATTCGAACCTGGATGAACCATTTCGTTCGGACAAACTGCAAAAGGAATTCCCACTTCAAAGGCTTCCAAAATGGCTTTTGTGGATAAATTAAATAAACAATTGGACACTCGACCGAGAGGTTTCAACCTTGTTGAAAATTTCCCCGGTGTAAATAAATAACTGTAGACATTCACATGAGTAGGAAAAAGAGATTCTGCCCTAACGGACCTGACGGACTAAGACGATCGACCCACGAAGGGCCACGGATACTCAATAGCCGTTGGAACATCAGCTGGTTCTGCAAGGGAGGGTGCGAATTAGTGCTTTCTTCTTTTTCTTTTTTCTTCTTCTTCTTGAGATTCTTCTATAATATTTCGGTATTTACGATTCTAATATTCGACCTTCGTTTCTTTACATTTTCTTTTTGTTTTTCTTTTCATTATTTTCCTTTTTGCCTCTTTTTTTCCATTTGACTTCGTCTTCTTCTTCATTTTTTTTTCTTCACATTTTTGTTCATATTCTTTGCTATTATCTTTTTACTGTGTCCAAATTCATACTTTGGATCAAAATCAAGCTTAAAGCTAGACTTGAAACAAGCACCCTCTTCCCACCATCATGATTGTTAAAACAGAGTCTTTATATTGTCCTAATAGTAGTATAGGTGTAAATGTTTCTATATCAGTTTGGTATCTATTATACCATTTTTTATTCTCTGTCTGTTCTATCACCTTTTTTTTCTCAATTGTTCATAGATTTAATCTTTCCCAATCTTGCTTCTTCCCCATATATATATATATATATATATATATATATATATATATATTGACATTTTATGTCTATACATTCTTTTCTTACAGATACAAATATTTAAGTAAATGTTCTGTTTATAATAAACAGTATTAACAACATTTACCGACCTGAATGTCGCATGTTTTCTATGACAATTTCTCGGACATTCAGGTCGGTAAATGTTGTTAATATTGTTTATTATAAACAGAGCATTTACTTAAATATTTGTATCTATTAAAAGAATGTAAAAACATAAAAATGTCTTTAAATAATTGTCGGACTTTGTCCATTTCATAATATATATATATATATATATATATATATATATATATATATATATGTGTGTGTGTGTATATATATATATATATATATATATATATTGATTTAATTTAAAGAAAAAACAGACCACTTTAAGGTTCCATTCGTTATAATTATACGTAACTAATTAATATATATATATATATATATATATATATATATATATATATATATATATATATATATATATATATAAATGGACATTGAAGTCAATCCAGCGGTGACAGTCTGTTTCATGCTTATACGTAATCGTCAGGTGACATGCAGGCACTTTAACTCATAAATATATCATACTTTAAAACTATATATTATATATATATATATATATATATATATATATATATATATGATAAAAATATAGTTTTAAAGTATGATATATTGAAGTGTTGTTAAAGTACTCAATATCATGGATAGTGCGTATGTAAATATAAAAGTGGAAACTGTGGTCAACACCAGACTGCGACATGTTTAAACGCAATCTTCAGATCATATGTGCTGTGTTTTGCCTCAACTATTTATATATACTGATCAATGGGGCATTATGGGTAGAAGGTCTATTGTATTATGTTCACGGTTATTGAGTGTGCAGCAACTCTTGTCTCATATTCATCTTTTGATCTTAAATCCAAATGTCTTCAGTGAACAACAAAAACAAAGAAATTAGCCTTGCCGTTCCAATACTTTTGCAGGGGACTGTGTATTTCACATTAACAATCCAATGAATAATGTGCACATACACACACACACACGCATATATAGTTATAATGTATAATATTTATGTATATATAAATGTATACGAGTTCGAATCTCACCATGGTCGATTTGTTAGGAAAGAGACTTCTTGATGTTATCAGTCTGGAGTGGGGAGGGGCAATCCCAGCTTGCGGCAATTTTGGAATGTGCCTGAAAACCATACCCAATACCATACCTTGTGAGTAAAATTGGGGAGACGGAACCCTTTGAGGCCGTCGATAACTCTGCTAGCACGAAGTCTCAAGTCATCGTGACCGAGGGTTTCAGTTTGATGGTGTTGTTCAGATTGTTGATCATTCTAGATAACACGCTCTCTCCCAGAAACTGTAACTAATGTCTGCTCAGCATAGTTGCAATACAAACCACAGGTTGCTTCTGTGAGTGTTGATCAAACACAAATGTACCTGAGCGAGAGTCTACAATAGGGATTGGCTAGCCACCCTAGTAGGCAAGTATATTCGAATACGAGTGGCCAGCTATTATATATATATATATATATGCTTGTGTGTGTAATTTCTATATATATTATTTATGCGCGGTACTTATTAGAAAGCGCTCAATATCAGTGATTGAGCTAGCATAGAATATATATATATATATATATATATATATATATATATATATATATATATATATATAAATGGACATTGAAGTCAATCCTTTAAACGCTATTTTTAGTGGATAATCATATTTGAGTACACGTCCCGTTTATTTGTAAAATCGTATGTCTATTAATATCGTCTACCGGCCTGAATATGTGAGAAATTTTGTTAAAGAAAAATATGCGTCCACCAGCAGGATTCGAACCTGCGTCCCCTCGTTTTTTTTCCATTTTTATTCAATTTTCTTCCGTTATTGTTCGCCCAATTTTCGTTTTCTCCCTTATTTTGCTTATTTCTTTTCCCCTTTGAGTTATTTCCACCTTTTAAAAATCTTTCCTCTTCTTTTTTTTAATCTTTTTCTTTCATTATCTTCATCTAGTTTCTTTTTTCCTTTTCATCTAACGATTTTTCTTCAATCCTTTTCATTCTCAGTTTTCTCCTTTATTCCACTTCTTTCTCTATTGTTTTTTGTACATTTTCTCTTTTTAAAAAAAAATTCTTTTCTTTCTTTTCACACATAACACTACCCGTTTTCTTTCTTTTTTACACCGTTCTTTCTTTCTTGATTATATCTGTCCTTCTTTCTGTAATCTTTCTTGTTTCTCCTCTTTTTCTTTTCTTTTCTTTCAGGCACTGCCTTTCGTGACCCCCTCTTTTTCGCATTCCTCTCCTTTTTTTTAATTAGTCTTATTTCTCTTTACACCTTTTCCCTTCTTTCTTCCCTCTTTTGTTTCACGCCCGGCTTCCGCATCGAAGCCAGGCGCCAATCCTGTCCTGTCCGTTCCTATTAAATATTATGATGTCGTCTTTCATTTGCCATTAGCTTATCTCGCTGACGGTGTCGCTTTCGGGACTGAAGCCAGTGAAATTGTCACACGCACACTGTCACGTGCGTAATCACGCATAAGTACACATACATAAATATATAACACGGAGACATATATACGGGCACCAACAAGTCAGTACTTATACACTCGTCATACACGCGATCCTCCCCCCGCACACACTCATATATATATATATATATATATATATATATATATATATATATATATATATATATATATATATATATATATAATTTTTTGAATTATTCTGTAAAAAAGACAATATGAATAAACGAAACAGAGAAGAGGAAAGCTGTGGGTAAAACTGCCTACAGTTTTCCTCGTCTTTTCCTTTATTCATATATATATATATATATATGTGTGTGTGTGTGTGTAAAATGAGAACAAAGTGAGTATAATTCCACTGTGGGTAACATTTAATTTAAAAGAGGTCTCAATATGTAGGAGAGCTAAATATTATTTATTTTAGGATTTTAAAACAAAAACATGTTAAAAATCACTACACGATTACAATCATGATTCAGCACCATAAATATGTGTCTCCTCGGTTGATATATATATATATGTGTGTGTGTGTGTATGTGCGTGTGTGTGTGTGTCTGTATGTGTGATAAAATATAGTCTTAAGGTATGCTATATTTATGAGTTAAAGTGCCGCCTGTCACCAGACAGTTGCGTATAAACATGAAACAGACTGTCACCGCTGGTTTCACTTCAATGTCCATATATATATATATATATATATATATATATATATATATATATATATATATATATACACAGTTGTGTCATACTAAATTTCCGGGAACCGGTTCTATAAAGGTAGGTAATCTTTGGAACCTATTCTGCTTATTTTCTTTTCAACCTGAAAATGGAAACAAATCACTTTATAGTCAAAAAAAAAAAAAAAATGAAATAAAATAAACCATTAATTTCCTGATTGAAATTCTGTTCTCATTATATTTCTGAAGTATGATGCTTTTTTATTCTTGTGTCATCAGCTGTCTTATGGTTTCTTAGCCATATTCGAACTGAATCGCTGTAGTCTCAAAGATCCAATGGAAGTAATATCAAATTTATGACTAGAAGATATGTCACATTTTTAACTTCAAAACTGTACGAGGTGTTTGCTTTGCTTTTATATTACACACACGTTAAAACATCGATGAATAAATAAAAATAATCAAGGAACGTGGACATAAAATGTCAAATAATTTTCTTTTAAAGACAAAATGTTTTGAGGAGAATTGATGAAACAGAAAAAAAATTAATAGTGAACAAAATTAATTGTAGATAATCCTCATTTGATTGACAAACCTGAAAAATAAAGTGAACAGAATTTTTTTTTTTAAGGATAGTATTTGAAGTCGGCCTGCTAATTCCAGTTCCTCCTATATCGACATATTATGTGTGAAGAAGTTCGGTAGTATAACGGGTATCGGCGCACAAAGTGAAATTGACAAGCTGATTTTTAATTCCGGGTTAATGTGTTGCGTTCATTTCCTCACAGAACTTTGGAAGGTCTTTGGAACGACCTTGAATGATTACGTCTCTTTTCCCTTCAGCTATCGGTTAAATAGCAAGGTAGCCTGGTCACTTTAGCTTTGGATGACAATCGATGAGCAGGGCAACTCTGAATTCAAATTCACAGAGAAGTCAACAGAAAACCACTCAACTATTTTTTGTAAAATAGCATAGCAATTCAAAGATAATAAAAAAAGGAACTCGTGGAGAGTCATGAACGCCTACGTTGTGAAGGGATATGATATTGTTTAAAAATATATAAGTTACGTATATTTTCCCTTTCTAATGAAAGCACGTGCTTTTCACTCAGATTATTTTCTCGAAAGCTTCAGATCTGCTATGTTTCGTATCCAGAAGCTTTTCAGAATATAATCTGTAAGAAGAGCATGCACTCTCCTTGAAAAGAGAACATAGAACCTTGATTTGCTGCAACGTTCTTCGTGGCCGAGTTGGTAAATCACACTGGATCAACTTACGTATATGTACATATATGTATATGCATAAAATATATGTATAAAAAATTTGTATGTGTGTTTGTTTGTATGTGTATGTCCGACGGAGGTGGAGGTGCGGGTCTGATTCAGATGATGATAACAGTTTAAAGAAAAGTGATTGTGTCTTTTAAGCCATCTTGTAGGACAAAGGGCTACACTGGTCAGGCTAGTAAGGCCAACGTTCAGGGCGGTGGTGAGATGAAATCAGATAATAGCAGGCTTATCCGATCTCGAAGAAAGATTCCTTCTTTATTTCACATTCTCTAGTTTATTACTTTTTATTTCGGATAAATAAACCTCCTTTCTCTCGGCCGTTTTACGGAAACCAAAATCGTGAAATGCCTCACAAACACTTGATTTATTTCCATCTGCGGGTCATTATCTGCACTTTCGTTTGTACATTGACTTTTATCGGAGGATTGTTGAACATTGTTTTCATGAACAAAAACAAAAAAAATGGCTGTCGTTTCAATTCTATCAGACCTCTGTTCCGATTTCAAGCTAAACCATCAAGCTTCCGCACAGTCGAAAAAGCCATTCTACAATTAACAAGCGAAGTCAAAAATGGTTAAAAACAATTTCTATCACCATGGGTAGAAATATACACTAGAATCACCTTATACACGGTAGATATTATCCGTGGATAATATCATACCTTATATAGTCTAAGGTCCGCTATTCTGTTCTGAAATTTATACCAGGAAATCAACTCACTATTTTAAAAACGTAATGGCTATCTCAGTGCATTCTGATGCAACACGCTACTCCAACTGCAATACATTATATGTTTACGTCTTGCACCCACAAATCCTGGTTAGGAGGTGAACACAAATTAAGCTAGCTGCTGAATCAAACTTTCATGGCTTAGTGGATATCTAAATTGAATAAGTTTTACATATCTTCACACCCTCCTCCTCCTTCTCCTCCTCCTCATCATCACCATCATCATTTTGCTTCTTCTTTTTCTTCCCTTTGATTTCTGTTGTATACACATTTCCTTCCGGACCCCAACCAGAGACCTAAGATCTGAAATGGTTTCATGAAATTTTCTACTAATCATTTTTGTAAAAAAAAAAAAAAAAAAAAAACTCCTAAAATCTCACACATTTTATATAGATAAAGCTCTTCGTAATATGTGAGCTGGACTTGTGAGTACAGTTTTTTTTTTTGTATTTCGTTAAGGCATAGGCTACCAGGAATCTCTTCAATGAGCATCAGAACGATAACTAATTTCAACTACAACTGGAATTATTGATGTCCTCACGTGTCACATTTTTTTTCTTTTAGATTTCCACTGAAGATCCTTGTATTTGATAGTTTTTTGAAGATTTTCAAAGATACACAACAATTTGTAGGGAACTATTTTTGATCACGATGTCTGGGCGATTAGCTTTGATTTTTCTGTCCGTGTGTATTGTAAAGTCCCATAAAATGGTCAACTGTTTCTGGATACAATATTCGGACTATTGACCTCATCTTTGTTGCCATATTTCGGCCGTTGTATACTCCGGCCTTCTTCAGTGAAGGGGTTAGAGAAAATACAAAGGATCTGCGGTCCATATAACAGCAGGACAACCGTCAAAAGCTAGACGACATTTTGCAGATATCTCTCCCGAGTAAGACCCTCCCCCAGAGGAGAACATGACTAAAGATTGCGTGTACACCATCCCGTGCAGCTGCGGAAAGAAATATAAAGGGGAGACAGGCTGCCCCCTTAAGGTAAAGCTTCAAGTACACCAGAAAGCTGTAACACGAGGGGAAGTGAAAAAATCATGCGTGGCTAACCATATATGAAGAGAAAAGGGAGATCACTGCCTTCTGTGGGATCAAGTTGAAATCATAGACAAAAAACATCATTGGAAAATTCGGAATCAGCACATATGCTAGGTCACAAAAATCTCATGAGCCGACCAAGCATAGAAATGAATACAATATCGGAACCAGTAATAAGGAGTGCCAGAGAAAAGCAATAACAACGAACATTGCCATATGAGCTCTGGTAAAAAACATGCAATGATAACAGCAGAAATTGTAATATAAGCACTGGTAAAAATGATTGCTGAAGACATTAGGTTTATAATACCCAGAAATTCATACTAATTTCTAGTTAGCAAGCATTAGTCCCGTGCAGCAAGAATAAAACCTTCTGTTTCAGCTTTTAACCCTGCTCTACGTAGCCACTGATGGGTCTACATCAACTTCTTTGGTAGGGGCAGAGTATTGACTCTCAAGAGGTTTATCTTGCCATTGTTTCTGTATTTGGTACAATGCATTTGCTTTCGTTTTCCTTTAGGGTTCTTTGCCGCAGCAGTAGTTATATTATGTTTTATTTGCACTTCTTCAGTCAATTGAAATTTCATTTTGATTTTGTTGGCTTCTTGATTGTTCCCAGTTCAGATTTTCTGTTTTGCTTTTTTTTGCTAATTTTTGACACGCGCTATTTATCTTTCACTCCGACTGGAAGACGCAATTATAGAAAACAGACAATAACCGCATTAACACAAAAACAAAAAACAAAACATACATTATTGTTCTTTCATTCCGACCTGAAGACGCCAACGCAGCAAATGAAGGCGAAACGCGTTGTCATTAAGAAAAGCTTTTTCACCTTCTCTTTTTTTTCTCCACATTTGTTCGAACCTTCAAAAGTTGTGTCAGTTTAGTTTTAATTACATTTTCCAGTTTGCATACAAAAAAATTATGAGGAAATTGTTTGTAATGTTTTTGTTTTGTGTACATTTGACCATCTCTTCTAAACGTCAGAATATTCATTTGAATAT